ACCACGGGTTCTTGATGACGATAGTTTTTTTTTATACTTTGGCCTACACAATTTACTCCTGTATCGTGGGTGCGTTAACAAACATACAAGTTCACATACACATTACACCCAGACCACAGAACAAAAACCTGTGGATCCCCCATCTACAGATCACATGATCAGAGATCAGATAACCGAATCGAACCCGCGACATGTTGCGCGGCAGCCAGTTACCCAGCCACTGCGTTAACCGTGCAGTTATCTTTAGAATGAACTAAGAACTTGGTTTTCTATTTTCATGATCCGTCAGGAACTTCAAGATCAAATATTGGTAAGTATAGGTTTTTACTTAACAACATTAAATTGTAATATTGAAGATGATATTTGAATGTGAAATCTTCTTTGGTTTAGAGTGGACTTAATCCTACTGAGTAAGTATGAGTAAACAATTCAAATCCAAAAATAAGAAACAATCTTTATAATTATATATAATTCTTCTGCGAGTGTATATGTCACTGAACTTCTCTCAAACGACTGGACCAATTTTGATGAAACTTTTTGTGTGTGTTCAAGGGGATCTGGGAATGGTTTAGATTCACAAATCAGCCCGGCAGATGGCGCTGCAGTCGAAGTTTAGGTTATTTATGCTAGACAGCTGAACTAATTTGAATGAATTTTTGTTTATACATTGTGGACATGCAGGACAACGTCTGTTGGGTCCGCTAGTCTATCTATATAAATAAAAATAATTTTCGTTCGTTAGTCTCGCCAAAACACGATAAAGGCTAAACCGTTTTGGCTAATGTTTGTATTAACTCATCGAGTACCGTCATTATAGACACAATTATAAAACAATAGGTTGCGGTCACCGGTGACCGCTTGCTGTTTGACAGTTTAAAATGTTCGTGAAAGTTCAGGAATGGTGTTAAAAGTGAAAAAAACAATTGGCAGTACGAAATTTGACGGGTCAGCTAGTTAGGCATACAAAACTGATTAACGTAAGTCGTAGCTATACTATCAAGTCGTCGCGGAGAACCTAACGGGTTACCGGGGCTCCGGCTCGACATGCAGGAGAAGGAACGGGGTGGTTTTTTAGTCAGTAAGAGTCTGACACTCGCTCCCGCCTCACCCAGGCGGGAGCAGTCATTCGATGATTTTGCCCCCTTAAAAAAATACATATAACATAACATCATCCCCGAAGGGTTAGGCAGAGGTGCACATTTCGGCACTTAATGCCACTGTTCAATGCAACACCCATTTTTCACTATTTATGTTATGAGTCCCGTCCCAAAAATAATACTATCAAGCCAATTTTATCAACAACCGCGGAGTTCACAAGCCTCTGGTCTTAATGCAAATACAGTTGTATCTCTTTGTTATTAATTTTCAGGTACAGTGACATCCCTCGAGGCATAAAAACATACGCCAGAAGAAAGCGATTCGAAGTTTTTCAAATTCTGTAGAAGTTTAGGTCAAAGTCAAATAATAATGAAGTATGTATAAGAACGAATACTTTGTTTTATTTTGAATCCCTGTGTTATAGTACCTAGTTTCATTACCATAAAACAAAAATTTTAGGAACTGTGATTTCTGTATCAGCGAAAGTATCATAGCCCCATTTTCTATTACATGGGACCTGTTACAAGTGTAAATAAAAAGTACTGAGGTACTACATTTAATGTGTGTACCTCAACCCATCCTTTTAAGAATGAAAAGGCGTCATCCAAGAGCTAGTTCATAGGGGCTAGGAGAAGGCTTAACTCGTCAAGTACCGTCATTATAGACACAATATAGAACAATAGGTTGCGGTCACAGTTTAAGCTGTCAAACACCAAGCGTTTGACAGTTTAAATACTTGACATATCGATTTCAACACCCTCTTTTTTAAGCCTGTAATTAATACCTATATACTACAATCTTCTCCTAAGTGTAACAAACAGTTTTCTGAAAATCGCATCAAAATCGGTTTAGTCAAACGCGAGATATTCGCGCACAAACATACATACATATCAAATGGAGAACCTGCGTTTTTTTAAGTCGGTTACAAACGTATTTTAGTTTAATAATTGAGTACGAAGACCTCAGAATATTTAATACATTTATGTAAAAACCAACCTAGGGACTACATATTGTACAGGATGAGGCTAAGGATTCACGGCGCGATCTTCTTCCGTGTTTGCCGCCGTGGCGGAATGCGGAGGCGGAATTTCCAAAACTCACGTGACCACAGTTTTCTGCGATCCCGCATCCGCCGCGATTGCGATTATCAAACAATCAGTTGAGTTCCAGACCGGCCGTCCCATTGCGATCGCTCGCCAACCGATCGCACAGCGCGCGGGTGCTAGCCGACGCGGCGGCTGCGGAATCGCGGCCACGCTCGCCAGTGCAATGGGAGCCGCAAGCAATCGCAACCGCCGCGGGCGTACAACGCGCCATGAAAATTATTTGTTTCATACATTGTATTCTACGTAGGCTGCGGGCCCGCAACCGCGGCGAACTCGGGAGAAAATCGCGTCGTAAGTCCTTAGCCTAACTCACAGCGCTGTCTAATCCACTTGAACCTCTTACACTGCAATCATTAAACCCAGTCTATAAACTGTGGAGATTGTGCCAAACCCGATAATAGAGGAGGATATAATTGATATTCAGAGATTGTTGATGAATGCAATGCAATTGGAGTGGATATTTGTAATATTGAAATAACCGCTTTGTACTACATGCATATGAATATACATACGATACATATACCAAAAAAACACTTTTTACAATTTTTATCTGTCTGTCTGTTTGTACTGGTTAATCCCAGAAATAGCTGGACCGGGACCGAAATACCTGGGACTTTTATTGGCAGCTAATGTACTAAGAAGTAACATGACTACTTTTATTTTAGAAAAACGCAGACGAAGTTGCGCGTACAGTACTCAATACAACTTCATTGCCACGAGAATACAACAAAACCGCGTACCTATTTCATTACGCGTGTATTTTTATTGATAGGTTTTTTATAACTGGCTAGCCGCAAGTTAATTTCATGGCAATCAGTCAAATGTTATTGTTGTTATAACTAAAAGTTAATTTTTATAACAGTTATAACAAAGACAAGAGTTGATTGAATAATGAAATGGATTCCGCTGTACTTATATTTGTTTTTACTTTAATTATTGTAAGAAATAATATAATTATTTACAATTAGCTCCTTTAGTTAGTTTGTGCGTCATCACATTTTTGGATCT